GGTCGTGGTCGTGGTCATGGTTGTGGCCGTGGACAAGGAAGAAATTTTCCTAGTGTTAATCACCCCCAAATAACCACCAAAAGTGGAAAGGGAAAGATGAGAAGCCAAAGGCAAATGGTTCCGAAACTGAATGTTATCGTTGCGGTGGAAAAGGGCATTGAGCAAATATTTGTCGTGTACCAAGATATTTGGTTGAGCTTTATCAAGCATCTCTAAAGAATAAAGGCCCTGAAGCTAATCTTGTCTATGACAATGAATTTGATATCACCCACTTGGATGTGGCAGATTTTTTTGAGCACCCCGATGGGAAAATAGACCACTTGATCGCTGATGGATCCGTGGTTAAAGATGATTGAGTAGTTTGATTTTTATTTTTGTCTATTCATAGTAGCTAGTGAATAAACATCATGTAATTATAGTTCTTTACCTGAGTAGTAGTCATTAGTATCAATTAGTATTGTTTGTTTTATGAAATAGTGTTTGTTCATTTTGATTAAATATAATTCTAGTATTCTTTGTTGTCGGAAACAACTAAAGAGAGTATGTAGTTTTCAGAAATTATGATACACTATACTTTTACATATATATATATATATATATATATAAAATATACATAACGATAAAATTGTTTTCCCCTGAAACTTTAAAATGAGCTTTGAATTGCAAAATGTTGCATGTGAATTTCATTCAGTCTTTTCTTGAGTTTTCTCTTTTTACGTTAGCTCCTGTATTAAAAGAAAGAACATCTACCTTTCTTTACGAGCATATTACATTTTCACAGTTATCTACGGATAGAAGGAGAACTAATATAAGAGATTGTTTTATCCATAAATAGTAACCAACGTCAATGATAATAAATCAATAAATATTGTTTTAGCATATCAATTCATTCAATTTTTTTTCTTGTTAAATGCTAGAATAAATTCACGAATTTATTTAATAGACAAGAATATACTAATGTTTATTTGTATATTTCTTTTGTATGTCAAACCATGGGAAGCAAATATGGATACTTCACAAAGCAAACTTGGATCAAAGTTCAATTGTAAAAATATTTGTTTAATTGATTCATGTACGACACATACAATATTCAAAGACAAGAAATATTTCTCTCATTATGGTATGTATAAGGCAGATGTTACTACAATTTCTGGTAGTAGTAATTTAATTGAAGGCTCTGGAAGAGCTGCTATAACTCTGCCCAAGGGAACATTACTTATCATAGAGAATGCAATGTTCTCCTCCAAGTCCAAGAGAAACTTGTTGAGTTTTAAAGATATCCGCCGAAATGGATATCATATTGAGACAATAGATGAGAATAATTTTGAATATCTCATCATTACCAAAAATGTCTCTGGCCAGAACAGGGTTATTGAGAAGTTCCCATCTTTGTCTTAAGGCCTGTATTGGACAAGAATTAGTGCAACTGAGGCACATTCTATTATAAACCAAAAGGTTACTAATTCCAATACTTTTGTACTTTGGCATGATCGATTGGGACACCCTGGATCAATTATGATGAGACGAATTATAAAAAACTCAAATGGGCATCCATTAAAGAATTTAAAGATTCTTTTAAATAATGAATTTTCTTGCACTTCTTGTTATCAAGGCAAGCTAATTATTAGACCATCACCAACAAAGGTTGGAATTGAGTCCCCTGCGTTTTTGGAACGTATACAAGAGGACATTTGTGGACCTATTCACCCGCCTAGTGGGTCATTTAGATATTTTATGGTCTTAATAGATGCATCTTCTAGATGGTCTCATGTGTGCCTATTGTCATCTCGCAACCTCTCGTTTGCAAAATTAATGTCATAAATAATTCGATTACAGGCACAATTCCCCAATAATCCAATTAAGTCTATTAGACTTGATAATGCTGCTGAGTTTTCATCCCAAGCATTTAATGATTATTGCTTATCAATTAGGATAAAAGTGGAACATCCTGTAGCTCATGTTCACACTCAAAATGGCCTTGCAGAGTCTTTAATTAAACGTCTGCAATTGATAGCAAGACCGTTACTCATGAAAACGAGGTTGCCCACTTCTGTTTGGGGTCACGCCATTTTACATGCAGCAATGCTAGTTCGTCTCAGACCGATAAATTATCATAAATATTCTCCGTTGCAATTAGTTTTGGATCATGAACCTAATATATTCCATTTAAGAATTTTTGGATGCGCAGTATATGTGCCTGTAGCACCGCCATATCGCACCAAAATGGGTCCCCAAAGAAGGTTAGGAATATATGTTGGGTTTGAATCGCCCTCCATTATTCGCTACCTCGAAACATTAACGGGAAATTTGTTCACTGCACGATTTGCAGACTGTCGATTCGATGAGACACTTTTCCCAAAATTAGGGGGAGAAAATGGTGAAACCAAACGGGAAATTTTGTGGAAAAATCCATCATTATCTCATCTTGATCCACGTGCCTCTATTTGTGAAAAAGAGGTGCAAAAGATTATCCATTTGCAGAGAATAGTAAATCAAATGCCAGACGCATTTACGGATCTGAAAAGGATAACAAAATCACATATCCCTGCAGAGAATGTTCCAATCCATATTGATGTCCCTATTGGACAATCTTCTAGTGTCATAGCTAATGAGTCAAAAGCACGCCTAAAACGTGGCAGACCATTAGGTTCTAAGGATCGAAATCCTAGAAAAAGGAAAACAAATGATTAAAATGACACTACGAAAGAGTCTCATGAAGAAATCCACGATTTAACCAATCCTGAGATTCATGAGGAATCACTGAGCCTGAGACTCAAGAAAATAAGGAACTATCAATAAATCCAATCGATATTGAGACAAATTTGAATCGATTGGATATAGTGGTGGATTATATCTTTGCATATAATGTTGCATCTAGCATTATGCAAGATAGTGAGGATCTTGAACCTCAATCTGTTGGAGAATGTCAACAAAGACGTGATTGGCCAAAATGGCAAGAAGCAATCCAATCAGAGTTGAATTCACTTGCAAAACGTGAAGTTTTTGGGCCTGTAGTCCAAACACCTAATGGTGTTAAGCCTGTTGGTTATTAATGGGTCTTTGTACGCAAGAGAAATGAGAAAAATGAGGTACAAAGATATAAGGCACGCCTTGTTGCACAAGGATTTTCACAAAGGCCTGGTGTCGATTATGAAGAGACATATTCACCCGTTATGGATGCTATAACGTTCCGTTATCTCATTAGTTTTGCTGTCCATGAAAAGCTTGACATGCCTTTATTGGATGTGGTTACCGCCTACCTTTATGGCTCACTTGATAATGAGATATACATGAAAATTTCCGAGGGATTTAAAATTCCTAACGCAAATAATTCGAAGTCCCAGGAAATATTTTCAATCAAATTGCAAAGATCTTTGTATGGTCTAAAGCAATCAGGACGAATGTGGTATAATCGTCTTAGTGAGTATTTATTAAAGGAAGGTTTTATAAATGATGTCATTTGTCCATGTATTTTTATAAAGAAAATAACATCGGAATTTGTTGTACTTGCCGTATATGTTGATGACATAAACCTTATTGGAACTCCTATAGAACTCCAAAAGGCAATTGATTATTTAAAGAAAGAATTCGATATGAAAGATCTCGGAAAGACAAAATTATGTCTCGGTTTGCAAATTGAACATTTGGCAAACGAAATTTTTGTTCATCAATCTACCTACATAGAAAAGGTAGTGAAACAGTTTTACATGGATGGAGCACATCCATTAAGTACTCCGATGGTTGTTCGATCACTTGATGTGAATAAGGATCCATTCCGACCTCAAGAAAAGAATGAAGAGCTACTTGGTCCTGAAGTACCATATCTTAGTGCAATTGGTGCACTAATGTATCTTGCTAACACTACAAGGCCACTTTTTCAGTTAATGTCTTAGCAAGATATAACTCTGCTCCTACAAGGAGACAATGGAATGGAATCAAACACGTATTACGGTATCTAAAAGGAACTACCGATATGGGCTTATTTTGTGGCAATAATTGCAGTCCTGATCTTGTTGGTTATGCCGATGCTGGGTATTTATCCGATCCACACAAGGCTCGATCTCAAACAAGTTATGTGTTTACCTGTGGAGGCACTGCCATATCTTGGTGATCGACTAAGCAATCAATTGTGGCTACTTCATCTAATCATGCTGAGATAATTGCTATTCATGAATCAAGTCGAGAATGTGTGTGGTTGAGGTCTATAATACATCTTATTCGAGACAAATGTGGCCTGAAATGTGACAAACTACCCACAATTTTGTATGAAGACAATGCAGCATGCGTAGCTCAATTGAAGGGAGGATTCATAAAAGGAGATAGGACAAAGCACATTTCACCAAAGTTATTTTTCACACATGATCTTCAAAAGAATGATGATATCAATGTGTAACAGATTCGTTCAAGTGATAATATGGCTGATTTGTTCACAAAATCTCTACCGACGTCAACCTTCAAGAAGCTAATACACAAGATTGGGATGCGAAGGCTCAAGGATGTGAAATGATGCTCTCATCAGGGGGAGTTTAATACGCGTTGCACTTTTTTTCCTTACAATGTTTTGTCCCACTTGGTTTTCCTTGCAAGGTTTTTAACGAGGCAACCAAAAGGCGTATTATTAAACATGTGTAATCTTTTTCCTTTTCTAGAAATTTTTTCCCCATTGGGTTTTATTTTAGTTAAGTTTTTAACGAGGCACATTACTTATTGAGTAGACATTCAAGCGGGAGTGTTATGAATAGAATTATAATTAGAGTGAATGTCTAGCTTGTAGAGAGTTTTACTTTGTGGCTAAGTCATTTTTCCCCTATAAATAGAGGGGTCTTACCCCATTATAAATCATTCCAAAATTCAATAAAAATTTCTCTCTTTCTGTGCAGTATTGTTCTTCTTCTTTTATTGTTTTATAACAAATTTCTTAATTTGAAAATTTGTCCATCCCCCTAACCCCCCCCCCCCCCCAAAACCCCACCTTTCAGTCATACGAAATTGACGAAGGTTTAACGGCGTCGTATACGGGTAGTAAAGTTCATTTAAATAACGATAAGATTCCTTCATTCTCCTTTCGAAATTGGGAGCTCCTCCTCAATCATCATTGAACATAGGTTTCCGATTATTGTCGAACAACTGATATAATCATCACACAAAGGTAACTTTCAGATCCCAAAATTTCCCTTTTATTTCTTAAAATTCCAGTCGTCATGTTGAATAACCCTAGAGGAAAATCAGAAAAGCACGATTTTTATGGCTTTATTCTTTTTAGTTATTTTTTAATATTCATTGTGGTGCAATTACCGATAGTTTGATTCAAGACAAAATTATTCAGTATTGGAATGACTCGGGTCCAAATAGAAAAGAATTGATATTGAGGATTCATATAGAAGTACCAAAACTATACTTTTTTGGGGGGAGGGGGGGGGGGGTTAGTGAAATTGAAGTGTTGTGCTCGTTTAAATTGGGAATTTATGCAGAATTTAAAGCTGATCTGATTATTTTGGTTTAAATTCGGGATTTTTTAAAAGCTAGAGCTTCGGTTTTTACCAATAATTGTTAATTTTTGGTGTACACAGCTTATTACTTCTGCAACTTTAGATTGTGGTTCAATCACTAATAGCTTCTTTTGAGGAAAATTATTGAGTATTGGAATGAAATGGGTCCAAATGGAACTGAATTGAAAGGGAGGATTCATATAGCTGAAAGAAATCTAGCGTGGGATTGAGGTGTGATTATTATTTTGTTGTTTGTTGATCGCAGATTAATCTGCAGCTTTAATTATCCCAAGTATTTTTCGGGTTTGCATACATCATTATCTCGTTGAAGGGGCTTTAAAATGTTGTATTTTTGGTCCTTTGGGAGGCTTTTGCTATCTGTCTTGTTTTTTCGTGTTACCCTACATTAGATATCAACTACTTTGGGTAGTTATATTTCGTGGAATTGAACATGTTCTCGGGTTAAATTTGGAGTCTATCTGAATTTGAAACCTGATATATTATTTGGTTCAAATTCGGTATTTTTAAAAGCTAGGGCTTTGGCTTTTTGCTCTTAACTATTAATTTTTGGTGTAAGCATTGTTCTGATTTTTAGATCCGAATTCAAGACTTTAAGATCTAGCCAGCTATGGTTTGGAAAATTGATGCTTATGCAGTGATAATTAGTGTACACAGCTTTGTACTGTTTATTCCAAATTTGAAACATTGAAAAGCTAGTGGTTCGAGTTTTGTTGTTCAAAATAATGATTTTAGTGTACATATTATTTACTATTCTGATATTTAGCTCCGAAATTGGAACTTTGAAAAGATGCTTGGGTTTGGAAGTGTGATGCTTACATTTTGATTTTGTATACGGCTTTTTCACTTCTAATGCTAGCACCTAGCTACTTATTTGGAACTTTGAAAACTAGGCTTTTGGAATTTTGTTGCTGAACCATTTCTTTTAGGTGTATACAGCTTCTTTGTGATAAACAGTCAACATGCCGGCCACAGCAGGTAGGGTTCGCATGCCTGCGAACAACAGGGTTCACAGTAGTGCAGCCCTACAGACGCACGGCATCTGGCAGAGTGCTATTGGTTATGATCCATATGCTCCTAGCAAGGAGGACGACAAGAAATCTACCCAGAAGGCGTCAGCTGCTGATTCTGAAAATGCTTATGCGAGCTTTCAGGGTTTGCTTGCACTTGCCCGTATCACGGGATCCAACGCTGATGAAACTCGTGGGGCGTGCAAGAGGTGTGGGCGGGTAGGCCACCTCACTTTCCAGTGTAGGAATTTCGTGAGTGTTAAGGATGATAACAAGGATAGGGATCCGGAGGCGATTGAGGCTGCCGTGTTGTCTGGATTGGAGAAGATCAAGGGATCTAAGATGAAGGGAAAAGCAGAAAATGAGGAGAGCAGTGAAGAAGAAGAGGAGAGTGAGAGTTCTGATTCGGATTATGATTCTGAAATGGAGAGGGCAATTGCTGAGAAGTATGGGAAGAAGGTGAGTAGGAAGTTGAAGTCATCTAGGAAGCACAAGAAGAAGGATTCAGATGATGAGGAGGAGGAGGAGTCAGACTCTGGAAAAAGGAAGAAGAGGGGCAGATCAAAGAGGAGGAGGAGTGGGAAGAAGAAGGGACACAGTGATTCGGAGGACGATGATGAAGATAAGGATCGCAGGAAGAGGAGAAAGGAAAAGAGGAGGAAACGGGATGACTCATCAGACGAGGATGAAGATCGTAGGAGGAGGAGAAAAAGTAGGAAGGAGAAAAGGAGGAGGAGAAGTCATAGACATGCTGACAGTTCTGATGAATCAAGTGATGATTCTCCTCCACGGCACAAGCGTAGGAGCAGGAGGACAGCCTCAGCATCTGATTCTGATGCCAGCAACTCCGATGATTCACGAGTTGGCAGGGACAAAAAACGTTCTGAGAAGAGGAGCAGGAAGCGTCATGATGATGAAGAGTAGTAATGGACTCGTGAAAGGAGATATACCATCTACTATTTGAATTGCAGGTCCATTCCTTTCTATGGAACTGCTTATCCAGGCACTTGGTGTGTATCTGTCTATGTTTACTTTTATCTTTTTGCCTCAACAAATACTCGTGTGCTTGTTAGTCTCCCTTCATGGTCTTGAGTATTGTTTAACTGACGTTGCAGTATTGTGTCAGTTATTACAGAATATGGGCATCCTTGTTGAACCTCATGTTAACCTTTTGAAGGTTTTGCGGAGTTGTTAATTACAACCCGTGACTTATGCAACTTCGTAAGGTGTTTGTTGAAGTGATATATCAGTCTGTATTTAGAGTATTGATAACTGTATGTGTTTAAATTTTTCCAGAAAAACGTTACCATAGCCTTATAACATTTGATTGTGCAACACCTTTTTTGTGTTGTTTCTCAATTCGAAAATTTGTACTTGGCATTCTGGTGGTATAATACTATTGATTGCTGGTTATGCACAATGTCAAGTAGTGTCTAATACCATATGTAAAAAGAAGAAAGGGTCATAGGGTCCAGTGAGCAAGGGACCCACCAGAATTTGCATTGTTGCTTAGTGAACTAAAAGCCAGAAGCTGCTTGATATGCTGATCTGGGAATAGCATATGACACATCAACACTTCCACATACTCACCACAAGTCTTCTTTCCTTCCTTTCTACTGCTTTTTTGGGTCAGAGAGAAAACTTAGACTCAATAAATTATACTATAGTTATGAGAAGAGATTTTGGTGTAAGGAAAGATTGAGAGCCCTTGAAAATCCTGCCCCTCCACTTGGAGAATGATATCATTTCTAATCCCGTGCTTACCGGAAGAACATGGTGGAGTACTTAATCCCATTTGGTTAGAGAACCAGACATGGACAGGCCATAATTCTGGTTTCTGAGAGGCTATCAGGTGCTTTGATGCCTCAGACAATGATTTCAGTGATCAATTTGTCGGTGATCCCACTTGGAATTACATTCTATGATTATTGAGGGGTTAGCTACAAGCAGTTTTTGTTATAGAGTTGAATATCAATTAGTACTTCTTTAAAGGCTGATGCCCTCATCTTATCACAGAAGTTTTATGATTTTAGCCTCTTAAGACATAAGTATCAGAGTGTAGCTGAAGAGCTTCAAGCACTTGGTTATATGAGTCAATGAACAGCTTCTTGACTAAATGTGTTGAAGAGATCTTAGGTGCCTGATGCTCTTAGTAAACCAGATCAGAAACAAGGAGTACCAGATTTAGCATCTGCTAGTTGCAGGGTCTTTTGAAATTAAGTTTCAGGAAGGGACAAGTAATCTTAAGTGTATTATATATTTATATCTTCAATATGAAACGACAACTCCACTATTCTTGGGACAATTGCATTAAATACCCTTAAAGGACAAACTTTTTCAATGTAGGGAAGTAGGGCATGAGGTAGTAAATGATAAAATCCTCTTCCCTGACATGAAGAGTTGCCACTTGTTGCATGAGAAACAAAATCTTTAATTACTACTATATGTTCTAATTAACTTCATCTTTTATTACTCTCCAGATTATAAAATCCAAATATCTTAGGCTATGCTTCATAGTTTTGAAATGGGCAAAGTCATACATTCTCCAACTTTAGTTACCAATATTGCTTAGTATCTGTTTTACTTTCAAAATTCATGCTTGGGCTAATGAAGTTAGTTGCAGATATAGAAAGGTTAAAATTCAACTAAGTTTGTAGCCAGTTGACTAAGCCTAAGCTTGCACTTGATGGTGGCCTAGTGGTTGATAAAGTGGGATAAAATCTATGGGAAATCAGGATTCAAATCCCAGTAGACAAAAAGAAAGCAGTGATATCTTCAATCTACATAAGCATTGGTAGACAAAGTTACTCGATATCCTTACTGGTCGGACGTAGTGAGGGATAGAGTAATTGAGGTGTGCGAAACTAGTCTGATGCCACCTTTTTATAAAATAAAAAAAAGATAGTTGCTACGCTCAGGCCTACACCAATTTGGCCCTGCACCCAATGGTGTGGCTTAGTGGTTAATAAAGCGGAATACAAACCACGGGATATCATCAAATCCCACCAGACAAAGAGAACGCAAAATGATATCTTCCCATCTGGTTAAGCATTAGCAGACAAAGTTGCCCGATATCCATACTGTTGGTCGGAGGTAGCAGGGAATAGAGTAATTGAGGTGGTCAAGATGCCACCATTAGAAAAAAAAAAGAAAAAAAAGGAAGTTGCTAGGCTTAGGCCTACACCAATTTGAAGACTAGTTTGATGATCTGGTTAGTTTAAGCCCTCTCAACCTAGGAACACAGCCAAAAAGCTTACAGGTTTAGACAAAGTAAAACATTCTTAAAGTTGGAACAATCTTAACTAGCAAGATCTTAAAATCTAGTAGTTTCTAAAAGAACAAAGAGACAAAGATAAAATAAGTGGCACCTGGTCTCTTCTTTTAACAATGGGTAGGCAAAATCTTTCATAAAACAGAAAGAAAACCAGAAAAGAAGCTAAGAATCTAATCAAAGTAACACAAAGAAACCTTGGAAATAGGGAAAGGACCTGAGGATTGAGAGATCCATTAAAAGGGAAATCCTTAACTCATTCTATTCTTACTTTACAGATGATGATCACTGATTGGCTTTTCAAATAAATCACTTTTCATACTTTGTATATTGTTTTCTATTTGTTTTGATTGCATTCCTAACGTTAGAAGAAAGTCTAATCTGTCTTATTCCACTTGTTAACATTTATGCACTTTGTTTTTTTTTAGTTGGGTTGGCTGAAACCTTGTGTTTAGGGAAAGGTTTCTATTCAAAATCACCTGTTGATTCTTCCTTTTTCTTATTTATTTTGGGAGAAAGTTAAGAAGGTTCCCTCCCATCTTTTTTCTTTGTTTGTTTCTTTTTTATAACGGTGGTATGCAGCCAGCTTGTGCACACCATAACTATTTTTATGAGGTACCGTCGTACTGCATAATTTTGCACACCACTAGCTTAGATAGATAGGAACAAATCACTCGGTGTGTTTTGCTTTTGGAATTTGTATCATGATCTCTATAGTTTGCATCCCATTTCTTTAACCACTAATTCATACCTCTTGGGTCTATTGATAATCTACTGCTTAACATTCATGTAATAAAATAGTAAAGTAGTATTTTAGTATATATTTATTCCTTTTGCATGTATTTGGGTCAATAAAAATTGAGGGAAAAAGGGGGAGCTAGCATCAGTGAAAAACTTAATCAAAATGTTGATCCAAAAGTTCACCTATTTTATAATGTTCATGTAGTAGCACAGCTAACACAGCTTTAACAACAAAGAATATTGTACCATAATCACTAATAAAGTTGAAAAATCTAAAACTACAAATGTTCTTAATTAAGAAGTTAATTATATAAATATGTTAGATAATAGTAATCTTATAAGATATACAAAAAAACTAGTTAAGAAAAAAAAATACTAATTTAAAAACAAAAATGATCTTTCCCTTGTGTTAGGTGATTAGGCAGGACATGATTCTTTTCCACCTTACCGAGAACATGATCCGTAATAGGAAGGTGTGAGGTTAAGGATTAGGGTAAAAAGTTAGTAGATAGTCGAGAGTCTTTCCTTCCTATATTACTGGCTTTATTATTATCTTTCCTTTTTTTTAGATTTCGATTACTTCCTTATGTTATTCTGCTTGGTATATTATTAGATTGCTATTGTTTCTGCATATTTTTCTTCTTGATTTCTGCATCTCTTGATCTAAATTGATGTGCTTATGCCTACCTGAGCCGAAGGTCTATCAGAAACAACATTTCTACTTGCAGAAGGTAGAAATAACGTATGTATATACATTATATTACTCTTTTCAGATCCCACTTATGGGATTACACAGGATATATTATTGTTGTTATTGATCTTTCGAAACATTCTTTGATTAGAAAAGTTCACATCATTAGTTAATGATTATGTTAATAATAATTGGCCAAAAATACAAGTTTTGAATTAAAGGTATTTGTCACTTGCAAAGGCATATCCAAGATTTATTAGGCCCCATTTCTATAAGGCAAATATTACTACTATTTATAGTACGACTAATATACTGTTTTTACTTTGCCATACATTATTGGTCACACACACTGCCAAAAATCTGCACAAGGCAAAGAAGCAGATTGATAAAGATAATGTGAATTTGAAAATAGTATAAAGTGTTTTCCTCTCTTGTCATTCAAAAAATGTTGGATTTGAACTAAAAGAGGAACATAAATTTAGCTATTTAGACAAACCCAAAATGGGTATTTTTGCCAGACAAAGAGTTAAGGATGTCTGAAAGAGATATATTTTGTGACCTTTTGACTATGCTTTTCTTCCCTAACAAGATCTTGTATGAACCCTCTCTTTGGACAATAATAAAGCTTAAAGTATCCCATTCATTGCCACGTGGCAGAGACCCATTTAGTGAATGAGCATAAATTATTTACACCAACAACAATAACAATAACCCAGTGATTTTCTCCAAATGGGGTCTGGGGAGGGTAGAGTGTACGCAGACCTTACCCCTACCCGGAGACTAGGGAGATTTGAAGCATAAATTATTTACACCGAGCAAGTAAATTTAGGATATATATTTTATATAAAAACTCTTATTACTTAATCGTAATTAACTGATATATATTGTCACTTTAATTTGTAATTGTTATGATCAAATATTCAAAGCACTTGGTTTGGTGGAAACATTAGGTTTGAGCAAGTATTGTCAAACTCGCCCTTGAACTATAAGAAATTATATATTTATTTCATTCGTTAATAGCTGGGGTCATCTGTATCTATGTCATTACCAAAAGATTCGGGTGAAATTTAAAAATAGCCAAATTTATAAATGGTAATTGAAAAATAGTAACAGTTTCAAAAGTAATTGAAATTTAGCCATTTTTTATGTAAAGATAAATCTAAATGAAAACACTGTTCAAAATCCGGAAAATATTCCAACATAATATGCTGAAGTTCTATAATATACTGGACTTCCCAGCATAATATATTGAGTTCCAGTATAATATACTAGATGGAAGTTCATACACAGGTGCTCTAATCTCCAGTATATTATGTTGAAATCTTCCGTGTGTTGGAGTTCCAGCATAATATGCTGGAAGTTCATACACAAGTGCACCAATCTCCAGTATATTATGTTGGAATTTTTCGTATTGCAGCAAAATAGTGATTATTTTTCAATGGCTTTGCAAACACTGGTTATTTTTTAATTAACAGACCAAAAACTGGCTAGGTGCTATTTTCACAAAAGACTATCCTTTTTCACTAACGACTCCTTTAAATTAAATACATGTCTAATAAGGATAATTAGCACTGAAATTCGACGCATGTTTTCTACGTGGCACAATTAAAAACCTCCTCTCCTTATTTAATCCACCTTCAATTCAAGGGTAATATTATTCTTAACCTTACTCATAGTTTAGGTGCAAATGTGTAGTAATATATAAGTTGAATTGGATTTTGCAACTTGGTCAAAAAATCGCTAGCTAGAAATAAAAATAGGAAAGAAACAAAATGCTGACAACCGACAGGAGCAGGTAAACTGCTGCGTGAAAATGGAAGGTCTTTACCTAACAGACCAGCTTGCAGTGTACAGTCACAGCCGGTACTCAGTCGGCAATAACAAGAAGAACATCTCATCTTTATTTTTTTATTTTTTTTGTCTAAACGCACGGTAAGATAATAAACAAATTTATTTTCTGGGATTGGAATTTTTTTTGTCATGTAATAAATACTACGGATATTCTAATCTTTTTCTATTTAATCAACATGTGTTAAGTCATCCTAATAGGATTAGGATACATTGGTTCAAGAAGTTGTTAATACTACTTAAGAAGAGGGGCATAAATTTCAAAGAGGTTTAATAGCGAAGTTTTGTTCACTATTCTTTGCGCGATCTGGCAAAATGATTAAAAGAAAACAGTTAATTATCCATATTATTCACTAAAAAATTGGTTGGATACTGAATTTTTTTAAAAACGGGTCAAATATGAATAAGAACCATATTATCCATTTAGAAACGGAAAAGGGCTAAATATACCCCTCTACTTTCAAGTATTGTTTACCTGTACCCCTCGTTATACTATTGGGCTATCTATACCCTTACCGTCATACTATTGGGTTATTTATACCCATACTGTCATACTTTGAAACAAAAATACCCCTATTTTGAATTGAGTGCCACGTGGCAACACCAGATTAAAACGACTCATTTTCTTTTTTTACCCGACCCATTTTTAAAAAAACAACACCAACCCGACCCCTATTTTCATATTTTTTCCAGTTTTTTTAAAAATTTTAGTTTTTTAAAAACTAAAAAATAATTTTGTTTAAAAACTAAAAAAAAATAAATAGTTTTTCTAAAAAAAAAAAATTTAAACCAA